CCATACCTTAACTAAGTTGATAATGAATGCTGGGTACTTCAGGCCATGTTCCTGGGATGCAGCTGTAATTCGATTAATCCAGAGCTGCAGTAAGAAAACATTGAGAAGCTTAAAAACTAGTTCTTTGTTATATCCATACTTCCCAACAAAGGTTCTGACAACTAAAAGGTTTTTTTTATAAAAGCAAATGGAAAAGTAAATTTTCTCTTCAGGCAAACAGGGAGCAAAGGTTGATGCTCTTCATCCAAATGTCAGCTCTGTCTAAATGAGGGACGTCACATGCTGTAAAGCATTAATTCAACACACAATTTTAAGCACCTAGAATACAAAGAGGAACAAAAGATTCTGTGCAGACGTAGCTCAAAGTACAGAAAGGGTTCATGTGGATGAATTATGACAGCTGCCAAGGGTAGGCTACCATGAGGGGAGATGTAACAGTCTTGGAAGAGCAGGCCTGGAGGGAGGAAGGAGGGGCCTCCAGAGGACATGGCTGCAAAGGCATCCGGGTCTGTTCTGGTCACAGCAAAAGGTCTGAACACTGTAGGGATCAAGGCTAGTTAGTGGGCACAGGCCAGGAAATAATCTGGATGAGTACAGAGATGGGGAAGCCTCTGAATGGATCTGGCCTCTCAAATGGGAACTGGCGGTGGGGAGGAGTGATCCCAGGAGGATTCTCATATGCCATTCTTTACTCGAACTTAAGAATCAAGCCCACTTTCTTCCTCTACTTAAGTGGTTTCCTAGTTCATGTTTGCATCAGAATTACCCAGAGACATTACAACAGAGATTGCTAGGCTCCACCTCCACTTTCTGATTCAGTAAGTGCAGGCAGGGCCTGAAAATCTGCACTGCTAATAAGGTCCCACAGGAGGCTGCTGCTGTAGTGGCAGCCACTGTGAGAACCTCTGTTCTCTGTAGCAGCAAAGGCGTGAGTGCCAGTAGGCACGGCTCCCAGCTCTTTGCAGGCACCTTTACAGTGACTGGATCTCACAGGGTCCTCGGAGGCAACACTATCTCTAACCCATTACGAGAAAGCAAAAGGCATAAACTAATGGGGACGCAGAAGCCCTCTGGCACACAGACCAACGGTGCAGACACAGTTTATCATGCCCTAACCCAGTGAATGAGATCGTTCTGATTTTAAAGGGTCCAAATTATGCACCCCCCAAAAATCACTCTGCCAATATTTACCAAGTGTACTCACCTAGGCCCTTGGTTATGGTATTCAATAGAACAGAAAAAAAAAATCCCACCTGAAACTTAGGTGAAAGGTCCAGGAGATGAACAATGAACCACCGACCAAGTAAACTGCATGGCATGCTGGCAAATTCAGGAGGGTAAGGGTGGTGAGGTGTTGAACAGAGCTCTCAGCCCTCCGCGACCAAGTTACAAACCGCGAATGCAAAGCGCTTGTGAGAGCCGGCCTGTCGTCTTGGGGGCGCTTATCGGAAGCCAAGAGTGGCCCCGGGGCACGTGGGTGGGTGGCCAGAGGCACCAAGGCTGTCTGGGTTCCACTTTCATTGCAGATGTGACGGGAAGCCGCCAGCGGGTTTTAGGCGGACGGGAGATGCGAGCAGCAGGCGCGAGGGTGGCTGGGCGAAGCAGGGAGGCCGGCTGTCACGGCGGCGCGGGCGAGAGGCGAGGAGGGAAGGGATCCGGGACCCGCCAGCTTCCGCGCGTGGGGCGGGCGGCGCGCGCGGCTTTGGACGGGTGGAGAGAGAGAAGCAAAGGACCCAAGGGCTGAGCTGCGGTTTGAACCTCGAACAGATGGGCCGGTGCAGACGCCTGCGGTGGACGGCGCGGGGAGGCCGAGGGCCGAGTGGTCCGGCCGGTCGCAAAAGCTCCCAGCTGTCCGCGCGGCAAGGGCGACCCCCGCCCGCGGCCCCCCGCCCCGCGCTCACCGTCCGCATGATCCTCTTCTTCAGTCTGCGGGCCCGCGTGCATTTCACAAACGCTCGGGTCACCGCTCTGACCGCCAACCGGTAGCAGCGATTCTTCCGTCCCCGGAAGTGCTGCGGCGCAAACGGAAAAGGGGGGTGTCAGGGGAGCCCAAGGGGTCCTGGGCAGGGGGTGGGGGCGCGGGGCGGGGGCGGCCCACTCACCCGCGCGTGCTGCAGCACCTCCTGCACCCGCCAGTAGCGGTCGGTGACGCGGTTCCGCAGCAAGAGCTGCGCGGTGAGGAAGACCATTGCGCCCGGAGGCCGGCGCCTGCGCTCAATCGCGCCCGCGCCGCCGGCGCCCGAGCGCTTCCGGGCCAGCGGCAGCCGGGCAGGGACTTCCGGGGCGCCGCTGCCGCCCTCGTGCGCATGCTCGCGGGGGGCGGGCTCGGGGCTCACTTCTCGCGCTATGTTACCGCGGTGCGGGTTATGCTTTGAAACGCCAAATTCTTTATTACGTGGATTTTTATCGTTACGCTACCTCCGTTAAAAAAAAATAACGAAGGGGGAGCAGAATGGGAGTGTGCAATTTCTTTATAACTTTGTAGACATAATTTTTTAAGTCACAGAAAAGTTGCAAGGCTGGTTCAAGGAAGTCTCCCATATGCTTTACCGAAGGGCACCAGCTGTTACATTTCGCTGTTTTAAATCATGCTGTAAGTATTTAAAAACACATTAGTGGGCTTTTTTTCTGGACCACTTGAGAGGCTGGAGATAGCTCAATACTTTTGAGTATTTCCTGAGAAGGAGGACATTGTCTTACAAACCACAGTAAGAGACCAACGTCGGGAGACTTAGCATTAATGCAGCACAGCACTGTCGCCTGGCCTGCAGCCCCTATTCCAGTGCTGTCGAGTGGTCTCTGCCACCCGTTTCCCCGCCCAGGACCATGTTAGGTCTACCTTTTAGTCTTAAGCCTCGGCCTTTCTTCTCTTTCTTGACCTTGGCATTCTTGAAGAATTCGGGTTATTTTGTAGAATGTCTCAAATTGAGTTTGCTTCCCTATGGTTAGAATCAGGTTATACATTTTTGGCAGAATGCTGCAGAAATTTCAGTTGAGCCTTGAACAACACGGGTCTTCGGGGCGCCAACCCCCCCCCCCAGTAGAAAATCTGCATATAAATTATGACTCCCCAAAATTTTACTGATTGCTTACTGTTGACCAGAGCCTTACCAATAATATAAACAGTCGATTAACATGTATTTTGTATATTGCATGCATAATATACTGTATTCTTTCAAGAAAGTAAGCTAGAGGAAATAAAATGGTTTTTTTTCAAATGGTTGCATGTACCCCCGTAATTTTCCAATATAGTTATTGAAAAAAAACCTGCATGTAAGTTGACCCTCAAGGTTCAAACCCTCGTTGTTCAAGGGTCAACTATGTATTTCATCCTCATCTCATGGTATCAGAAGGCCATTATGGCAGCCTATCCCAACATGGAACATGGGTGATGTCAGCTTTGACCACTTGATTAAGGTATTGTTTGCCAGGTTTCTTTACCATTTTTACGTTTGTAACTAATAAATAGCTGTAGAGAAATACTTTGTGAATTCATGACAGGCCTTCCTGTAAGACATGGAGATAGGGGTAGGACTACAGAGGTGTATCATGTAATGCCTGTTAGAGAGGGCCTCAAATGGGATGCAGACTGGACAACATCTTGGCTAACCCAATAGTTCTGAAGCAAAGTCTGCCTATTAGAGAATGTTGTGTTGGGCAGAAATGGACAGACCCCAGTGCCTTTTGCTGTGCTCAGTGGTATTTGGGGCTGCCAGGAAAAGCATGCTGTCAGCTGTGGTGGACATGGAGCTAAATGGCCAGTGTAGTCTGGAATGAATACCTGCGGAGCACCCCTGTGTGACCTCAGGCTCTGAGACTGAACAAATACCCTGCTCCTTGTCAGGTCCTTGTCAGGTTTGCACTCACTCTTTGAGCATCCATTGTTGATTCTCTAACTGCATCATTCTTTCCACATATATTGGCATTCTGCTTAAAGAACAGCCTTCCTTTTTAGAGGTACAATCTTAGGGTATGTTAGAACAGTGGGAAGGGGATGTTTGAGTAAAAGAAGGAAGTGACTGATGGAACCAGGCAGATAGCAGATGCACAGGACCTGATGCACATCTGGTATAGTCAGGAAGAGCAAAAATGCCAATGTGGTTGGAGTGGAGCAAGTGAGGGTCCCGGGGCAGTCCCCTGTACCTCCATGAGCAACTTGGAGGCGGAAATGGAAGCTAATGAGCATATATAGGGCTTGAATCTCATGTAAGGACTTTGAGGTTTGGTTACCACGTCACATTCAGGCCTCCCCACAGCATGGCCGCTTCAGGGCAGTCAAACTGCTTACAGAGCAGCTGCAGGGCATGGCGATACAGAAGGAAAACTTATTGCCATCTGGGCCCACCCTGAAAAGTCGCACAGCATCACTTTGGCAGACTCTGGTGGCCCAAATAGTCACATCTGTGAACACATCATATGCCACGAATGGCCTTCACTCTCCTGTTTTGAGCAGGAGGGTAGCATCAGCCAATTTATTAAATAAGATTACAGCTACTGTTTTATGCATGGACTACTGGGAGGCAGGGGCTGAAGCAGGAAGACCAGTGAGGCTGGGGGCTGGCTTGGCTGTGCGATATTCCAGGCACGGCTGACGGTGGCTTGGTCCATAGGGGACATGAGATAGAGCAGGCAAATGGGACAAGTGTCATGTCATTGCGAAACCTACTTAGCCTGCGAAATGGGCCCAGCTTATTCTTTAAGGTAATCTATAGGCTGTTCTTCCTCTCCCAGCCCTTAGTCAATTAAGTAACTTTGTAACTAGGACAGGAGATAAACTTCCTAAGTGTAAATGAATCTATTGGGTAAAGAATGCTGAGATCTGGATCAGCACAGTCACCTGAATAACCCTATTTTTAAGACAAAACTTCAAAGGAATTATGAATCACCTGTGTACATCATGCTTTATGCTGACCCCTACCCAAAAGTTCCTGTAAAACCCCAAGCCCTAAACCCTTATGCACACTTTCTCTCTGAGGTCACCTGCATACATCAGAGTGTGTACTGTCTTATCAGATAAGCTTTCTTGTTGCATAAGCTGATTGCACTTGTCTCCAAACTATTCTCCTTGATGAAGACAAGAACTCTCCAACCTCCACCTCTGGTGGTAAATGTCTTTGTCACGTTGCTTGTTTCATTCAGCTTTCTAGTCTCAACACAGTACTTTTCTCTCTCCCTGTTTTGTTTCAGACCAGCAGGGAAGTGGAAATTCTCAGGACATAAATGCACTCTATCCAGTGCTCTGTGGCTCCCACAAATCCTGGGGTGGTGGGGACTTAGTTCCCACATTGTGCACATCCAAGCGGACATTGGACACTAGGTGACTGGCTTTAGGAGTTGGCAAGGGACCTGCCCTGCGCTGAGCAGTTCAGGGAGCTGCCCCTTCTTCCCTCTGCTCCCCCTTTCTCTGTACTGCCTGGATGGCTGCTGACATTGGCTCCTACTCTCACTTTAATGAATTCCTTTCTTGCTGGCACTTGTTCCACCTAATTGAGAGTTCTTTCCCCATCAGAGTCTAAAGCCCTCCTGCAACCAGGTTGAGGTTTCACCAAGTGAGCTAGGAGAGACCTCCCTGGATGCAGCTGCCAGACAACCAGCGGGGAGGTGAGAGGCAGTGGGGCTCTGGGTGCACTCTGAGGGTAGCACCCACAGACTGTGCTAGCCAGCTGGGTAGAGGTCCACCCCGAAGCTTTAAAAACTATCCTTACTCAGGATTCCAAAGGTGTCACTCCCCTTTCCCCCTGTCTCATCTCCTGTGGGTCATCTTTACCTGTTACAATAAAAGGTCTACCCCTCCATCTCGGGTCCCAAGCCTCACAAGGAGCCATCTCTCCCTTTCCTGAGCCCCCACATGCAGCCCATCACTAAGTCGAAAGGGCTCTGCCTGCTTCCCCCACCTCCGCTGCTACGCAGCCATCTTGCAGTCCCCTAGTGCCTCCCATGCCAGATACAGTCCACTCTGCACTTGGCAGGCTCCTTGAACCCAGCAGCGCACGTCACATGTGCTCAAACTCCCTGAAGCCTTTGCTGCCCTGGGGTAGGACCCGAGCCCACCCATGGCCCCGGCAGAGGTACTAATTTGGTACAACTCTCATGTTTGAAAGATGAAATCTGACCTGCAAAGCTGTCCTTACAGAGAAACTTTACTTTTAAATGGAATAATGGCAATGGGTCTCCACAGAATACAGAAATGGGCAATCAGAGACGATTGTCCTCCTGTTTCTCTTGCGCCACGGGATTTTTGATTCATGGTTGAGGGCCAACAGGCGGAGGTTGGTGCCACTGAAAGAAGCTTCTCATAACTTCCGCTTCTGAGAGAAGGGGCCACAGCGGGCAGCACAGCATTAGCGGGCAGAAGCAGGAAAGATGGGCAGCCCAGACCAGAGCCTTTATGGGGATTCCCACTGGTAGGCCAGGGGGCAGTTAGGGCTGGCTTGTTTGATAAGCCTGGTGGGCCTGGGTGCACAGGGGCCATCCCTAGTGGGTTGGTGCCTGGACCTGGCAGGTTAGGTCAGGGGGGCAGGCTGAGTGTGTGAGATAGGTGGTTTGGGTTAGGGACTCTGGGTCACAGAGGAAGTGTTAGCGAATGTGTCCTGTGATTAATCGATGCCAACAAATCGTGGATCTAAGAGACACAGGAAGAATGCCCCAGGGTCCCGAGAGCAACTGAGCAGCAGCCCAGGGCAGATGGACCATGGGGAGACTGGCAGGTTTGGGTCAGTCTGTCCCCATGGCTCAGTCTCTCTGCCAGTGTGCGTGGGGCAGGCTGGAGCAGCTGCAGGGGCACGGGCCACTGCCCCCTTCTCCTCCCAGAACCTGTGGCTGCTCTCCCCTCCATCCAAGCAGGCAGGCCCAGGGGAGAGGAGCCTGGCACACACCCTCAGCCCAGGGGACAGGAGCCTGGCACGTACAAGGCTGTGGAAGCCCATGGAGCCATCTGTTGTCCTGGCTGTGTGGGCTTGGCTTGGAAGTGAGAAGCTCAGGGACCCTGGGGCTGTGGTTCCCTAGAACTCCAGTTCTCCAAAGACCTCAGACACCAAGCCCTGGGCCACCTCACCCCACCGTGTCCTCAGAGTGGGGCTGGCCCCTCGGCTCAACAAAAGCTCTGTGGTGGGGCCATGGCCACGCTCCATGGCAAGGTGCAGGGGGGTCTTGCAGAGCCAGCCAGCGGCGTTGACTTGTGCACCGCTGTCCAGGAGGTGGCTGGTGACCTCCACATGGCCTCCCCGAGCAGCATGGTGCAGGGGTGTGAGGCCCAGTAAGTCCTGGGTATCCACCTCAGCTCCCCAGGCTGCTAGCAGTTGGACGGCCTGCAGGTGTCCCCTGGCCGCAGCCCTATGGAGGGCTGAACGGCCATGCCAGTCCTTGAGGCGTGGATCTGCCCCGTGGTCAAGCAGCACCTCCATGTCCTGGGAGAAGGAGGGCAGAGGGCAGGGGCTGGTGGTGAGAGGCTGAAGCCCCACGGTGTTTGCCTGACCCACACCTCATCTATCCTCCGCCTCCTAGCTGCCTCTTTGTCCACACTGCTTCCCCATTTGGTGAGTGAGCCAGTGCCCATGGCACCCTGGAGGAGCTCTGCATGGAGAGTCCCATGTCCCCCTAATCATTTCTCATACCAGACCCAGCACGAGCATCACCTGCCGCCGCTCCACGCCCCCTGGGGGCTGGCTGGACTCCAGCACACTCCTGGGGCTCAGCAAATATTTATTTGTGCTGGCCACCCAGAATGAAGCCGGAGTGCCGGGCCGGGCGCCCTCCCGGGTTCCAGAGGCGAGGCTGCGCTCCACCGTGGTGGCCAGCCCCCCACGCCACCCTCCCACCCTACAGGCTGGAGCGGAGAGCGCCAGCTCGTCCCCCCCAACGCTGCCCCAGCGGTCTGCCCGTCTGCGCCCGCCCCGCAGCGGGGTCGGGGTGGTGCAGCCCTGGAGGCGGCCGGGACGTACCTGCAGGCGGCCCAGGCCCGCTGCCACGCCGAGCGCTGTGGCCCCCGCGCCGTCCCGGGCGTCCACCCGCGCCCCACACACCAGGAGGAGGCGCAGCGCCGCCACGCGCCCAGCCGCGGCTGCCACGATCAGGGCGCCGTCCAGGCCCTCGCCGGCCGCCGCCAGCAGCTCGAGCACAGGCAGCTGGCCGCCCGCGGCCGCCCAGTGCGCCGCGGTCCAGCCGCGTGCATCCGCGGCCCCGGGGCCCGGGCCGGGTGCGCCCAACAGGCGCCCGGCCAGCAGCGTGCGGCCCAGCGCGGCGGCCCAGTGCAGCGGCGTGAGGCCTGCCCCCGAGCGCGCCTCCGCCGGGGCCCCGCGCCGCAGCAGCAGCTCGGCCACCTGCGAGTGCCCGTGCCAGGCGGCCTCGTGCAGGGGCGTGCGCCCCGCCCGGTCGGCAGCCCCCACGGGCGCCCCGCGCCGCAGAAGCAGACGCACCAGGGGCACGTGGCCGCGCAGCACGGCCAGGTGGAGCGGGGTCCGACCCGCACGATCCCTGCGCAAGGGGGTTGGGGGTGCGTGTGGGCGAAGGCACGGGTGGTTCGTTGGCTGAAGGGGCCCCCACCGCTGCCCTGCCCAGGAAGGGACCTGCTGCTTTTGCCAGTGAAGGGCTGACTCCCCTGCCCAGAGAAGGGACCGCCCCAACCGCCTAAAAGGACCCCTTCACCCCAGCCCCCACTGATGGAAGTTCCCGGTTGAGCGCTGGGTCTCACCTCTCTGCCACACTGGCCCCTTGCTGCAGCAGCTGGGTCACCAGGCCCGGGTGACCCCTCCACACAGCCTGCAGCAGGTGCCCGCAGGCCTGTGGAGCCCTGGGCCCCTCCGTCTCAGCTCGCGGGGCTTCCTCGGAGCCCAGCTCCACCCACCGCAGCTCCTGCTCTGCCTCTGCCCCGGCCTCTGCTGGGCCCTGCTCCCCGGGCGCAGAGCTCCCGGAGTCCATCTGGGAGGAACAGGAATCCTTGGCGGATGCTGGAAGGCATGTGTGCCGGCTCCAGCCCGTGTGTCCCCGGTCTGACACAGGACCTCTCTCCCTGGTGGCGGAGCGGCCCACCACGTAGCCTGAGGGGCTTGGCTCCCAGTTACCCCTAGAGGCAGCCAGCCTGAGCCCTCTGTCCTCCGGCTGGGGGGCCTCTCCATGCCACCCCCCACCCAGTTCCTACAGCCTGGTGGTCCTCTCATGAAACCCCTCCTGAAGGGGAGCAGGTGGTGGCGTCTAGTCTGGGAGGGCTGGGAGGCTAGAGCTGCAGTCGTCTGTGTGTTGGTGGTGGTTGGGGGACTGGGGAGCAGAGCTGCCTCCTGGGCCAGGCTGACACCTACTTCCCCACACTGTTTACCCAGTGCCTTAAGGGGAGGCCCTGCCTGCTCCCTTCCAGCAGGTCCTGCCCTGGCACCCTCTCTCCCCTGACAACTGCTAGGGCCCCTGGTGTGGCCTCCCTCCTGGGAGACAAAGACCAGGCAGGCAGGAACAAGCCCGGGAGGACGGCCCCTCCCACAGCACAGCCTGTGATGTGCCAGGACTTGCCCCCAGGGAGCAGTGCCTTCCCAAGGGTCTTTCCCTCAGGCCCCTTCCCTCACCTGTCCTGGCTGGCTAAGACCACCTCTCTGTGCGGGAGCCTGGCCTCTCTCCTGATTCCAGACTCAGGTGGCATACAGGGCGGGGTGGGACCCTTCCCCCTGACAGATGCTAGGACAGAAGGTTGGCACAGATGCCAGGCTGCTCAGACAGGGGGTAGAGGATAGAAACCCCTGGGAAGCAGGTTGATGCAAGCCAGTGAGGGCTGTGAGGAGGCCCCGCAGTGGGAGGACGGAGCCTGGCCAGGGAGGGGCTCAGAGGAGGGGCCTCTCCATGTGGAAGGTGGAGAAGTGACCCCGCCGAAGGGGGTGAGTGAGGCTGCCGGGGTCGGCGTCTTGATTCTGCTGCCCCGGCCCTGAGGGCGCCTTGCTGTCCTCCAGTCTCAGATAATATCGCCTGCCCAGAGCCCAGACAGGACAAGGTGTGGTGACCCCGGCAGCCTCTCTCCTCCAGCCGCTCTTTGTGACTGTCTACCAGGGAGCAGTACAGCTTCGGGGCAGCTGCTCCCACCCTAGCCCCCTCCATCCTCTGCCTCCAGCCCACCCTCCTCCCAGGAATGAGGTGTCCTGATGCCCCCGCCCTGTCCCCCATCCTGGGAGGGTTAACAGAGCCTTGGCTGTGCCCCTACTTTCTTAGTGAGCAGCCCTTCCAGGTGCCAGGTCCCAAAGGTGGGTCTGCAGGCAAGGGGCTGAGGGTCCTCATCCCACCCCCACGCCCATGGGTCCACCCCATGAGCCTCAGTCACTGCTCACGGGGCACCTCCCTAGAGGGGCCCTTGAACCTGACCTCCTATCTGAAGCAACCTTGTTCCTAACCCTATTTTATTTTCGTCTTAGCGCTTACCACCTCATGGAGGTACCTGTCTATTTTGTTTTGAACATCTACCTTCCTCTTCTGGAATGAAGGCTCCATGAGGGTGCATCACACAGGCTGGCAGTTCCAGCTGGTAAAGAAGCAATACGCCCTGGGTGGACTTGGGTGGTGAACCGCTTAAGCAGTCTGCGAAATCAGGAGGAGCAGAGGTGTCGGCTCTCTGCTCCCCTGGTCCCAGAATGACACCAAAAGAACCAGGTCAGATGACAGAGGGCATGGAAGACATGGGTACCCACTGCTGGGGAGCCACTGTGCAGCAGCTGTACCCTGGGTTATGGTGGAAAGGCCCATACCTCATCGGAGCCAGGGACGCCTAGAAGCCACCTGGAATCCGCCTCTGATAGGCCTACTGAAGGGGAAGGGCAGTGCAAGCTGTGTGGGGCCTGTGGCAAAGGGCGCTGCAGCCGGCTCACTTGGCCTCTGTGGACTCATGCAGGGCTGTAGGGGCGCCCGCGCAGACCCATTCCCCGTTGGGGGGGAGGCCTCCGTTGGCCTCATTCAAAACCACAGAGCCTAGAGCAGTCGGGGCCCAGGGGCAGCTCAGTGAGGCTTTGCTGAACAAGGAACTGAAAGGACTGAGGGCCTGAGGAGAGGGTGGGACCTAGAAATGAGGCAGGACTGGTACCCGCACCATCTGAACTCTGTCTACCCAAACGCCATCATCTGCAGCACTTGTCGCCCCAACTTCACCATCTGAATAAGTGAACACCTATTCTGAGATGTGGGCATGTATATGCCATTGAGAATAGGTAAGTGGGTGTGGGCTGGGCAGCGGGGCTTGGGGGCCTGGCGCTGCTGCAGGGGAGCCTCAGCCTTGCTGAGGGGGTGGGCCGCGGGCTTGCTGCCTTCCCTGCGCTGAGCAGAGCTGCTGCCATGTTCCCGTTCATCCCTATCTGAAGGGAGTTGGTGAGCGTTGGAAGCATGGAAAATGTTAGTGGAAAGGTTGGAGGGGAGAGAGCCAGCTGTGGAAGGAGGTGTGAAAGGGTAACCTTCCCCTCCCGGTCTGTTCAGCTCCCAGACAACCCGCTCAGTTTGTGTCAGCTAGTCTCCCGAGTGGTGTTCGGAGCCCATGTGTTGCGCGTGGGACCCCAGGGGACTGACAGGAGTTACCAGCAGCTTAGTTAACACTTGAGTAAATTTGTTGGGATTTTCTGAAGGGCTGGGACTAATTTTCCCGACTTGAAACAACAGAATACATGTTCCACTGTTTTCAGGATGGTGTGGATTGCAGCACAAAGGGTTCCTGTAATCATAGCTGCTCTATGAACTCCCACTGCAGATAAAATGAGAGTTCCTGTGGCCAGGATTCTCACCTGGCCGTGGTTGACTAGCTCACTGCACACCTGTGGGCACTACATGGCTGGTGACTCTATAAAAAGAGCTCTGCCCAGTGCTCTGGGCGACACGGTGGCAGGGCTACAAGGCTGCAGGAGAGCAGAGCAGAGGCTGGAGTGGTGGCTAGTGCCGAGGACAGAGGCCCAGAGGATGGCTGTGTGGGATGACTGTGCAGAGAGGCCCAGAGGACGGCTGTGCAGACAGAGGTGCCCAGAGGCAAGGGGAGAGACTAGCTTGCTGCCTGCAGACTTGCTCTGAGTGAAAGGGATTTTAGTGACTGACCTGCCACCTGGAAATAACGTTTGGGTATGACCCTTTCACCCCAAGAACGTTCTACTGTCATTTATTTGGTCACACTGAATCCATAGCAAACTTGCCTGGGGCTGAAACCCATTGGCAAGACACCCACCTTGTGCACTATGCATTGCACATTGCCCTCAACAGCCTTAAGGGGGGAGCACCCAGTGTCTTACAGAAGCTGAGTGGGGCCAGGTTGGGGGATAAGGGGGCCAGCAGGGGCTATGGCTGGAAAATAGGGTAGGTGACAGCTGCATGGCAGCCACTGATGGAGTGGCTGTCAGAGTCAAGATCTATGGAATGAAGTCATCATGTTGGGGAGCTGGAAAGGGGGGTGGGAGGGACCAGAAGGGAGGAGGGCCCCTGTGCAGGGACAGCTGTGCCAGCCCCGACCAGAGCACACAGGAGCTGGCTGGGGAGACTGGCCGGGGCCAGAATTGTGGTTGCCTGGCAGAGGGAGGCCTGGCAGTGGGGGAAACTGAGGCAGGGGTGTGGCTCTGGTAACTGGAGGTCAGTCCTGGACCTACCTGGAGGGTCCTGCCCTTCAGCAGGGTCCACTACCTGGCTGCTGGGGTCTGGGCGGGGGTCTGACCTGGGGGTCTCAGTCCTGCTTTCTGCCTGCACCTCTGAGCCCCCCAGGCTTGCTGCCTGAGACAGGATGAGTGAACAGGAGAGGGAGACAGAGGAGGATGAAGGAGGGGGCACTTCAGACACGGCACCCATGCTGCCTGGAAGGCTGCCTGGCCGCCAGGCCTCAGCCCTGCTGTCCCCAGGGTGGGCAGGCCTGGTGGCCCACAGCCTGGGGACCCTGCTGCTGCCTGGCTGGGCCCTGGCCAGGCTTGTGCTCCACCTGCTGCCCGCGACCGCGTTCCTGCTGGTGCTGATGCCTGCAGCTGCTGTCGTCTCCCTGGGAGTCCTGTGCCACTCAAAGGTGAGCTGAGCCCCGCAAGTGTGGGTGGGGTCCCGGGGGTGGGGGTCCTGTGGAAGTTCAGGACCCTGGGGCTGAAGGTGAATCCTCCTGCCCCCAGCATGGCCCCCTTGTCCTCGGACACATGTGCCCGTCTCTGGGGAGCCCCTTCTTCTGCCAAACCTCCCCCACTGGCCACAGAAAAAGAAGGGCTTTTGTTTGTGCCCAAGAGGACGACTCTTTCCCTCGCCTGAGGCCTCCCAGTCTTGTACCAGGGGCCACCAGGGCCTGGGCAGCTGGGCAGTAGGAAGAAGAGGGCGTTCTGGAGAAGGCTGGATGAAATTGTCAATCTTACCAGTCCACAGCCCTTCCCAGGCATGCCGCCCACCCCTAACAGAGCCCGGCCCTTGGCAATCCCCTCCTGCCCTGGGCTGCGTTTCCCCAAGTGGAATGGGCAGTGGCTTGGTCCCAGGCAGGGAAGGGGCAAGCAGATGGCCGTACCCCCTTTCTGTAGGCATAAGGCAGGGGAGGAGGATGGGACACGGGCACAGAAGAGGAGATGGTGCCAGCTGGTGCCAGCCACTGGTAGGGGTCCCGATGCCCACACAGGAAGGGCCACGGAGAGCAGAGTGGGTAGGAAAGCCAGGTGGGGTAACCGGTAGCAATCCTCTGAACCACCCTTAAAAGGACTCCTACTGGTGCCGTTTACTGTCTGGATCCCGGAACGCCCACGTTGGCGCAGCAGGTCTGGCTCGGCTCAGCCCCGGGCGGTCTGACCCACCGGTACTGACCCGCCCCCGTCCGCGTCCACCTGCTCCCGGGCCCCCGCACTGACCGCTGCCCCGCCCCCAGGTCCACCCGGCGCCCCGCCCCTCGTGCCGCGCGCTGCTCTCAGACCGCAGCTCCGCGGCGCTCATCGCGCTCGGCTTCCTCTCGCTGCCCCCGCTGCTCGTACTCGCCTCGGCCACCCGCGCTCGCCTGGCCCGGCGCCTCCGCCCGCTGCTGCCGCCCCGCACCTGGACCCCCAGACTTCGTCGCCACCACGGGGCCAGCGACCGGGGGCGGGCGGGACGCCACCCCGACGAGGGGGAGCAGCTCTGCGCCCGGGTGTGATCCCCAGATGCCTCTCCGAAGGACCCCGCGCCCTCCAAACCCTGTAGTCGCGGTCAGGAGGGTTCTTGCGTCCCGGTCCCGGGAACCGCGCGCGCCTCGGGGCTCCGTGCGCAGTGCTCCGCCTGGCCGCGAGATGGCGCCAGACTCCCGGGCCGGTGGGCGCTTCCCCACGCTCCCCCGACCCAGCAGTCCCCCTGCCGCAGAGGCTGGGAAGCCCCCGGGGTAGGGAGGTGGCTCCCAGAGAAAGGCGGTCTCCCTGGCTTCTGCCGCAGTGGCTGCCCTGGCTCCGGCTCCCGCAGCCCCGCGGCCCCCAAGCCGGGGGAGCCGGCCGGCCTCCAGCGATTGAAAAGGCGGGCAACCCCACATTCCGACCCCGCCCTGGGCCAGGGGCGCAGCCGTGGGGCTGCAGGGCTCGGCCAGCGACCAGGGTTAGGGGTTGGATGGCCTCCACCGTGGGGGCTGCCGGTTTTCTCTGGATGATTTTATGAGCTTCTGTGTTCTGTGGTTTAAATCATGTTTCCAGTTGTGGATATGCCTCCAGTGGATGTATGCACCGTCTCCCATTTGTCCAGTTCACATCTTTCATCAGTTCCGGGGAATTCTCAGCCCTTCTCGCTTCACTTGCGCCTCGCATTTGTCCTTCCCTTCCTTGGGGAAACCCAAACGGGCGGGCGCTGCACGTTTCCTATTCCCACGTCAGATCCCCTCGCCTTTTGATTTCGCCTCTCTGCTGTCTTCCCAGCGATTTCTTCATCTCCCTCTTCCAGTCGCCCAGTTCACTGGCTGTGCTTGATCTGCGGGTCAACTCGTTTGTTTGGTTTAAACTTACTGTACTTTCATACCTAAAATTACACCTGCTGTTGATTCAAGTCTGATCATTTTTTATAGTCTCTTGCGATATGTGCAGTTATGAACTCCAGCTTCACTTTGCTTTCTTGAACATTTTACTATAATTATTTTATATTCTGTACAAAACAATTCCCATTTCTTAGTTTTTGGGGTTCTAAGTCTGTTATTTGTTGTTACCGCTGAATCTCACGAACAGCATATTGTTTCTCTGAATGTTTACTGCTTCTTAATTGTCAGCCCATACCTGTGAAAATGCTGAGGCCACACGCCTCCAGAGAGGATTCCATCTGCGACCCAGGCTCCCCCCGGGCGCCGCTCAGGTGCTGGTCTGGTGGTTGGGCTCTGCGGAGTGCTGTCCCCACCTGCTCCCGGTTGCTGCGTGGCTCTCCGTCTCTCTGTCCACGGGATCTCTGCTTTCCTATTCGATTCGTCATCCTTGGTTTCTACTCACTGTTCTAGTGGTTCACTTATTTATTTTTAGTGCTGATTTTGGGGGGAAAGGCCTTGAAGATATTTACTTCCTTGTAACCCCAGAAGTGTATTAAAAATGCAAGTTTGTTGTCGTTCATCCAGAATCTGGTGGCCGCTAAAGGTCTTTTAAAGGACCCTGCACACTGTAGGCCAGAGCTCCTCCGGTGACCAGCAGGGTCCGGGCTCAGGGCTGAGGGTCTGGTGGGGCCCAGGGCTCATTCTGTATCTGTGAACAGAGCCAGGGGGTGACTGGCTCAGCTCCAGCAGGCCTTGGGGTTTTCCAATTGTCTGCGCCGTCAGAAAGGAGCCTGGCTGACTGCCCAGCGCCCAAGGGTAGCTTCCCCTGGTCCGAAGCCGCCTTCCTTCCCCTCCTGCCCAGGCGTCTAGGATGAGGACTCCCCTGAGGGCGGCCTGGCTCTGGAGTCATCAAAACAACAGCTGGGCCTGGTGGGGGTAGGGAGGCCACCGTGCAGAGCTCAGCTGCCTGAGCCTGCCAGTTCCTAAGGTGGGCCCCAGCCTCCCAGGCCTGCCCGGAGGCCCCACAGAGTCCCCAGCTGGCCCCAGCTCTGCCTCACCCACTCACAAAAAGAACACCTGTGGGGGACCGTGGGAAGCTCACAGAAGGGGCCTAGGCATCTGCTTTTAGGGGCCAGCTGTCAAGAAAGTGGAGGGTGGAGGCACTCCACTACTGGGTGGGCTGGGCAGAGACTTCCACTTTGGGTGAGAAGGTTCTTTCCCCAGATGGGCAGGCCCCTGATGTGTAGAACATGCCTGGTCACTGGGGACCCTCCACCACGTGGGTGGGTGTGTGGCCTGTCTGTCTGTGGGCATTATGTGTGTGTGAACATGTGCATGCGTGCATCCCGTCTGCTTCCTCTCCCTCCTCGGGCAGGGGTGTTGTCCCAACCCCCTGGGCAAGGAGATTGGGCTCTGCAAGGCTCCCTGACCTGCCTAAAGTCATTTATTAATTCACAAAATATTTCCTAGGAACTCAGGTGCCTGCAGGCACACCCTCAGACAACATGAGCAGCTAGGAAAGGTCCAGGGGATTTGGCAGTTCCGTCCCCCAAGCCTGCACCCAAACCAGGCGTAAACCCTGCCCTACCCAGGCATGTGGGCCAGGCAAGGGTGCCGGGGTGCGTGGGCTGGTAGGAACAGGCAGAGCCTGCGCTGGCCCTGAAGGCTAGGGCCCCTCCCCCTGGTCCCTGGGCCCCAGCCGACCATTGGGGACCCCCACCAAGGTGTTGACAAAGATCTGTCTCTCCCTACTCTCTCCTTCCAGGTACAGGCCTGCCTGGACTCTGCCTGGGGCTGGGACAAGGTGCCATGCCCATCTCCCTTACCGAAGGTTCTAGCAGAGGGAGCCTGAGCTAGAGGCCCTGCTCCGGAAGGGCCCACTAGTCCACGCCCTGCCCAGGCTGAGAACCCCAGAGTGTCCTGGATGCCTGCCTTCCTCTCTGCCTCCCAGCCCCTGCCCCTTAGGCTCTGCCTCTGGGCCTTCCACTGGCGCCCTCCACTTCCACAGGCATCTCCTGCAAGGCCCCTGCACAGGCCGTGGGCCCCACCCTCTCTGTCCCCTAGGCCTCTCTTCTGCCCTCACACAGGGGCCTGCCCCTACACCATGATCTTGGCACTTTCTGTAGCTCCCGCCCATCTGACCTGATGTGGCCCCTCCCTCCACAGGGAAAATAAGTAGACAGGCATCTTTGCAAGCATGCCACTGCCCATCTAGCCTGGCAACATTGGGCTCTGGGGCTATAGGGGGCAGGCCTAGGCTCCTGGGGAGTGAGTCCACGGGACCTCCAAACCCTCAGGTCCAGTCCTCAGGCCCCAGCACGTCGCTGGCTGCAAACAGGCAGGTCAAGTCTGGAAGAATGTGTGGGTGGGGCAGCAGGGTGTGTGGAAGGGCCACTGGGCCCTGCTGCTCTGGCCGCCCCTCCCTCTGCCCCACTTACTGTTGTGGGGAGGGGTCGGGGCCTCAGGCTCAGCCCACACCACAGCCCCAGGTCCACACAGCTGCCCCCCCATTTCCTGTTTCCATGTACCCAGCCGTTGCCGGGCGCATGTGTGGAATACAAAGTACATGACAAACAGTACCCAGCACCCCCGGGGTTGGGGGTTGCTCAGTAGAGTGCCTCACTGGAGTCAGGGATGGGGTCAGAGGCCACAGGAGCTGCCCTTTTCCCTGGGGTCACTATGACCACAGTGAGCTGGGGACAAAAGGCCCTTTCTCTCTGCAGAGGCCCGGTTATGCGGAGGAGGGAGTGTTCCCGAGGACTGGCCAGGGCGGGGCAGGGCCTGCGGGAAGCAGCGTCCCTGGGTTTCTCGGAACCGTCCACCTGCCTGCAGACCGACAGGCAGGGTGGGCCAGCTCCGGGAAGTGATGCCCGGGGACTCCGGACTGGGCAAGGCTGTGGGAACACCGCTGCTTCAGCCACACAGGCTGCTCCTTCCTTCTGGACCCTAGTATGCCAGGACCAGGCAGGGTCCTGGCGCAGGGAGGAAGAGAGCTGTGGGTCAGGACCTGCTGTGTCCTGGCCACTTCTGTTCTTCTCTGCCCCCACCCCTGGCCTGTCTTCCTTCAGAGAGGAGGTTTCCGGGCAGTTATATTTGTGCTTCCTCTGGCGTCTGTCTGAAGCCCAGCCCTGGCCCTGACCACAACACCCCTGGCTGACCCCCGCACTCCCTAGGGACCCTCCATCTGCCCATGCAGGCCTCTTCTCCGGAGATGCAGGACACAGGAATGAGACTTGCCAGGATGCTGGCAGCAGGGGCAGTGTGGCAGCTGAGCCCCACCAGCTGGGGTGGGGGGTGGGGGCATTTCCCCAGGGTCACGCAGTTGCTTGTGCGAGCAGGGCTGACTCTGGGCACAACTGACAAGGAACTCGCAGCCAGGGCAGGTGGCCGAGCTCAGCCAAGGCTGGGTAGAGGCCCGTTCTGACCACAGCCAAGGCTGGGCCTCCCATAATTTCTCCCTCTGGTGGAGAGGCTGGAGGGAGGAGGGTGGCTGCTTCCTCGAGGACCTGAGTCATGGCCAAGAAGGCCCACTCAGTTTTTCCAGAAGGGGCGGAAACTTCCCTGTCAGCCCAGTAGTGTGAGCAGAGATGTGCCTGGGGCCCACCTGGCCCACTGGAGTGGGGGACCAGCCAGGGGCCACTGCCTCACTGCAGGGTGGACCCGCTGTGGCCAACCTCCCTGTCCCAAGCAGGGGGCTGCCCAGTGAAGCAAATGACGAACCAAGGAGTGTGTGTGTGTGTCCACCTGGACGGGCCTCCCCAGTGCCCCCAGGTCAGCTTCCCACTGGACCCCAGGCCTCCTCAAGTTGCTGCCTGCCCTTGGCCACCACGCACAGCTTCCATGCCCACAGCAGCTGTGTTCTGGGCGTCCAGCGAGGCCCCTCTGGGCAGCACACCTTGAGCTTTGGGGGCCCAAGCCCACTGCTTCCACATGGAAGCACCAGGCAATCTCTGGTCCCAGCCAAGGCCTGAGGCCTGTGGACCTGAGCCAGCATGGCCACCACTGCCAAGATTCCCGGCAAGGGGTGGGGGCGGTGGTGACACGGATCTTGCTTGTTCCTGCCCAGCTCCTCAGGCCCAGCTGAGCTGCTTCCTTTTTTAGGCAAAGTCGGAGCTGCAGCCGGTCTCGCAGCCGGCTCTCACCTGCCAGAAAGGGCGGAAGGAAAACCACGGAGTCCTATCCGTCCACCCTGCTGAGCATCCTTGGGGTGGGGACATCCTCATAGAGACCCACCGCCTAGCCCTGGGGGACCTGCGCCCTCCACTTCCACTGAGAAGAGTGGCTGGCAGATGACAGTGCTTACCCCACAGGAAGGCATTTTAGGAGTGGGGGTTGGGGCTCTCTTGGACCTCAACCCCTGCTTAGGGGACACTGCTGCCTCACCTAAGGGCAGAGAATCTGCACTAAGGGGCTGAGCTTCCCTCGAGATGCCCCTTGAAGCCAGCCCTCTCTGGTGTGGCCTAGTGAAGATCCCAGGTCACAAAGCTCCTAGCTCACTGTCCTTCCAGAGGGCATCTCCTGTGGGTTGCTGGAGGTCTGTCCTCCACCCTGGAGTCTGACCTCAGCCCCGGCCCTAGGCCCCTCACCGGGCAGGACAGCGATAGGTCCAACATGATTACTCTGCACAGGGCTTTAACCAGCTGTCCCCAGCCTCTGCGTCTTCCTCCAAGAAGCCATGCGGGGTGGGAGCTTTGGGCACCCTAGGAAACTTGCCCTCAAGTGTCTCAGGCTTTTGCCCCCTCCCAATGCTCTGCATCCTAAGTTCAGCCTTCCAATCCCTCTTAGAACTTGGGGACAAATGCCCCAGCGCCCAGCACCATCGCTCCCCTAGCCCTGTGGCTCAGGCAAGGCTAGGGCCTGGCCCTTGCTGGGGAGACATTTTTGGCGTCACCCTTACCCTTTCAACCCATGGGGTTCTCTTGGGCCTGGCTTTAAGGGACTTCCAGTAATACCTGGTTAGGAGTATTGGGTAGTGGTACTAGGGATAGCAGCGTGGTGGCTCCCTGCTCCCCTCGTGCCTGGGGACAGGGGCAGGATGGACCCCACAGCCTCGCAGCCATAAAGGAAGGCCGCGTGTCTGCCCATGCGTTGGTGCTTTGGAGCTGAGTGCGGCGGGTCGGGCCGCAGCGGGTCTCCCGTGTGCGCGCCTCCCCGGAGTCTGTGCGTCTCGGCACGCGGGGAGCGCGCGCCGGGGCGGGGCCTCCGGGGGCGGGGCCTCCGGGGGCGGGGCCCGAGTCCCTACTGCACGGCGGCGCGCCCTGCAGCCCCGGAGCGAGCCAGCGGCGAGCGGAGGCCGAGAGCCCGCGGTGCCGTCGCGCGATGCTGCCCTGGACGGCGCTCGGCCTGGCCCTGAGCCTGCGGCTGGCGCTGGCGCTGAGCGGCGCCGAGCGTGGTGAGTGAGGCTTGCGGCCAGTCGGGCACCCCACCACCCGAGCAGGTGGGGGCCCAGATGCCCCAGGCGGCTAAACCTTGCGCCGGATCGCCGGGGCCTGGACGGCGAGGGGGAGGTGTCTGTGGGGGAGGCCGCCCCTGTTCCCACTCCTTCAAATAATGCCTAGGGGAGGGACGGTAAGAGGGCTGGAGTCGCCCTAGCCGACTGGGGAACCTGAGGCCACAAGGCGCAGACCAGAACCAAGACACCCCAGGTTCCAGTATGGAGGGGCGCATCTGCCCCCGCGCCCCCAACCCAGGTGCTGGGAGGAAGGGGGATGCCCGGGAGAAGTAGGGTCCTGAGGCTGCTGCAGCAGGTAACCTGCTTCTTGGGTTCAGATGGAGCGGGAGACGGGGCTACGGGAGGTTTGGCATCATCTGTAAGCGGGGCCGTGACTTCACCCTGACTGGGCTGTGGGAGGAGCTGCCATCATGCCCTGTCTCCCCGCTATCCCTCCACCTCTGCCCCCGGTCTCCCCAGCTGCTTGTGCCCCCTTTACCCCCACCTAGTACTGCCTGGAGGCTGCTTCTCTGGAAGCCAAGCCTGAAGGAGCAGCCCCCATGGCCCAGGCCTGTTTACCTACCGCTCCTGGGGGCTTGGCTAGGACCCTTGGCTCCAGCCTGCTGGAAGACTTGGCCGAGGAAAAGAAGGGTGTGGGGGCTTGGAGGGGTCAGCTTGCCTTTACAGAGGGCACACCAGCCCAGACAGCACCCCAGGGACATGGCCAGGGTGCAGAGCTGGAACCCACAGATGGTGTGGACCTGTCTCCCACCCAGGGCAGTGCCCTGGGACTCTTTGGGTGGCACTGAGCAGGTTTTCAGGGCCTACTAGGGTAAAGGTGAGTACCAGCTAAGGGAAAGCTCAGGCCCTGGGAGTTCTGTCCTGGGTGTGGGATGTCTGGTGGCCACCACCTTGGGCTGAACCCTTCCCTCTCCCCCAGGCCCCACAGCATCAGCCCCCCAGGGGGACCTGCTGTTTCTGTTGGACAGCTCAGCCAGCGTGTCTCATTATGAGTTTTCTCGAGTTCGGGAGTTTTTGGGGCAGTTGGCGGCCCTGCTGCCCCTAGGCCCTGAGGCCCTGCGTGCCAGCCTGGTGCACGTGGGCAGCCGGCCGCACACTGAGTTCCCCTTCAGCCAGCACAGCTCAGGTGCGGCTGTCCAGGATGCCATACGCACTGCGGCCCAGCGCATGGGCGACACCAACACCGGCCTGGCACTGGCACACGCCAAGGAGCAGCTGTTTGCCGAGGCAGCAGGGGCCCGGCCAGGGGTGCCCAAGGTGCTGGTGTGGGTGACCGATGGTGGCTCCAGCGACCCCGTGGGGCCCCCCATGCAGGAGCTGAAGGACCTGGGGGTCACCATCTTCATCGTCAGCACCGGCCGTGGCAACCTCCTGGAGCTGTCAGCCGCCGCCTCGGCCCCCGCCGAGAAGCACCTGCACTTTGTGGATGTGGACGATCTGCACATTATTGCCCAGGAGCTGAGGGGCTCCATTCTTGGTAGGTGGGTGGGGGCAGGGCCTGGGGACCCCAGCTGGGGACCCAGGAAGGGAAGTGTGGGGAGAGGAACTCCTGTGCCTGAAGCAAGGGCCAGGGCTGTGGGGACAGTGGTGTTCCCTGGGTCTGGCAGGGAGGTGACACACACAGCTTCTCTGTGCATCCTTCAGGGACACATCCCAGGCGTGCGGTCTGTGTGCCCCACTGTCTGGGCTGTGGTGGGATAGATGGGCAGGCCTGAGTAAACATGTTCAGGTGGGACTCTGCTGTAGGCCCCCACGGAGGTGGGGGACTGGTGTGGGTGGAGGGGCCGAGGGGCCACATCTGGTGGGAGGAAGTGGAGAGGAAGAGTGGGGAGGTTCCAGGACCAAGGACTCTGCAGGTGAGCAGCACACGCTTCTGTATGGGTGCCAGGGCCACCATGCCTGGGGACAGGAGAGCCAGCAGGTCAGGCGAGGCCCGGACACACAGCTCAGACCCCGACACCTCAGGCGAGGATGGCCTTGGAGAGGTGTGAGTGGCTTTTGCACCACAGGACATCATGGGAATTGCTGGAGAGGAGGCCAGGCCAGGGAGGGCCCCTGCAGGGGCTAAGCTCCTCCTTGGGAGCTGTGTTCTGGACCCCCTGACCTGGCCACACCTCCCGGAGTGGGGTTGGGGATGAAGGGCCTGGTCACTGGCTCGGCCTGCGGTAGCCCATGGAAAATGTCACCAACACCAGGGCTCTTCCTGAGTGTCCGCCTGTGGGTTAATCATCCACCTGAAACCGGAAGGGGCTGGGCTGCGGTATGGAGCGAGATACAGAGGGTCCTTCTGAAGATTTCCCCTAGGAACCCCTGGCCTCTGGTGGCCCCTGGGTCAGCCGAGTCTGGAGGGGACTGCAGGAGGCAAGGCAAGCAGCCGGGCAGGAAAAACCCGAGTCTGGCTGGCAGTGAGGCACTGGGGTGGGGGTTCCTGGGATTGGGGGCGGAGTCTGAGTGTGGGGAATGGGCAGGAGAGTGAGTGCCAGGCTGGCAGCTGGGGCACCAAGCATTAAAGGAGGAAGCAGCAGATCCCAGCGGACTCAGCCCTGCCCACACATTTATTAGCCTGCACGCCTGCACCCATCACTCAGATAGCTGTGTGGCTACGCAGGGGCTCAGAAGTAATGCATGTTTGGAGGGGGCTGCACTCTGTAGTCCCCACTCTCCTGGGGACCTGAGGCAGCTGCTCCTGGTGTCACGTCTCCATTTTAGGGCATACCCCGGCACCCTCCCTCCTCCTGACCGCACCACTGGGCCCCTTTGCCTTCACTGTCCAGAGTGGAGCCGACCCTGTGCTGGTTGTCTGTTCTCAGATACCACTGTGGGCCCTGCCACCTTTTAGGGGTCCTGTCCTGGGCACTGGACTGGATGGGAGGTGGCCGTGATAGCTCCCTACAGGTCCGGGTTTGGGGCTGAGGCAGGCAGGCACGCTCCTGAGGGAGCCCCAAGTAGGGAGCTGCACGCCTGTCTTTTCCCCAGCCCAGCACCGTCTTGCGGATCGTCAGCATCTGCTGGGCGTGGCGAGGCTGGCCTGCCTCCCCAGCCTCCTGTCCCCTAGTCTTCCCTGACCCCCTGCCCCTCCCGCAGACGCCATGCAGCCGCAGCAGCTCCATGCCTCTGAGGTCACGCCAAGCGGCTTCCGCCTGGCCTGGCCGCCCCTGCTGACCGCCGACTCAGGTTACTACGTGTTGGAAGTGGCGCTCAGCGCTGAGCCGGGAACCGCGCGTCGCGAGCAGCTGCCGGGGAACGCCACGGGCTGGGCCTGGGCCGGCCTCGAACCCGACACGGACTACGACGTGGCGCTGGTGCCCGAGTCCAACCTGCGCCTCGTGAGGCCGCAGCGCCTGCGGGTGCGCACGCTGCCGGGTACGGCGGGGCGCGCGCCGGGGGCGGGGGGCGCGGCCGGGGGCGCCGGGGGCGGGGCCTCGCTCACGCGCGCTCTCCCCGCAGGCGAGGCGGGTCCCGAGCGCATCGTCATCTCGCACGCCCGGCCGCGCAGCCTGCGCGTGAGCTGGGCCCCGGCGTTGGGCCCGGCCGCCGCCCTCGGCTACCACGTGCAGTTCGGGCCGCTGCGGAGCGGCGCGGCGCAGCGCGTGGACGTGCCGGCGGGCCGCAACAGCACCACGCTGCAGGGCCTGGCACCCGGCACCGCCTACCTGGTGACCGTGACGGCCGCCTTCCGCTCGGGCCGCGAGAGGGCGATGTCGGCCAAGGCCTGCACGCCCGTCAGCGAGCGCAGCCGCGCCCCGCGGCCGCCGCCGCCCGGGGCCGGGGGGCCGGAGCCTTGAGCCGTTGCCCCGCCCGCGCAGGGCCCCCTTCTCCCGAACTCGGCGCGGGAGGCGCCCGCCGCCGTGACCAGGGCCTTGCCCTCGGCGACTCCGCGAGATCCCCCGTCCTCTCCCCGCCCGGCGTCTCCAGCTCCCCGCCGGACCCTCCGCTGCCCGGCCCCTTAGCTGGGCCCTCGGCGGTGTCCTCGGGTAGAAGTTAGCGGGGGGGTGGACGGGAGCCTGGGGGAGGGTTGAGAACAACAGACCCAGACTGGAGGACAGGCTCCCCGCTGTGTGGAGGGCCGACACCCCTGTGGCAAGGGCTGGTATCGCTTTGAGGGGGCTCGGTCCTGCTGGTCGCGGGGTCCCCATGGCCACTCAGGTCCTGGATGACGGTTGGTGGGGGCGGAGGGCAGGTGCTGGCTCTGGCCCCCGCCCGAGGATTTCCTGAAGCGGACAGGATCTGGCAGAAATCGGGAAGGAGTGCTGGGAGGGTGACCGTGCTCAGTGGCAGGGCGGGTGGAAAGGCGGTCGTCACCTGAACGCCCAGCTGGCCCGGGGGTCAGTGCCTTCCTGCCCAGGACCCCGCTGGGCCCAGCTACAGCCACTGGGATGCAGGTGACATCTTTCTGGGGAACAGGGTGGGAGCTTGGCATTCAGGGCCCCGGAGGCAGGAGAGCTCGCTCTGTGGGCCCCAGCGGTCGCAGGAGGCGCCCTTGCTTCGGGGTGGGGGGCTTCCATGCTGGGGCCGGGGACAGTGTTTGCAGGCTGAGTCCATCCCAGCGCTTCCTGCAGCGTCTTCTGACTGCAGCCCCACCAGGCACGGCCTCCGCCTGCACCAGCTCAGTGCTCACGCCGCCTCTTCCCCACTAACCTCCCAGACTCTAAAGTACAGTAAATCAGATGTAAGTCGAGCCCTGCAGTGTTCTAGAGTGCTTTACTTCTCGTCGAAACATGCCAGCCCCATAAAAAGTCCTCGATGGAAGGCCAACGGGGTGGGGGCAGGCTCGTGCGGGAAAGGAGAGGAGCGTCCCCCCACCCCACGCTGGGACTCAGACCACCATGCCATCAAGGGCCTCCCCGTGAACCCCCTCTTCAGAGTACTCAGGCTGTTTCTGTGGGCTGGAAGGCCACAGTTCGGAGTGGGCAGTTGCTGGAGCGATGGCTACAGAGGCCTGGCTCTGCAGGGCTGCCCCCACCGCAGCTTTCTGCCCAGGGCTCAGGGCTGGGGCCCGGCGCCCTCTGCTGGCAGCAGGCACCCCCAACGGCCGTCTGATGGCTGCCTCCTGATGGGACAAATAGCCTTAACCCAGGCGTCAGTAGAAACCTGCAGTGGCACACTCGGGGGTGGGCCCAGCCCAAGGCGCAGGTGTCAGGGCCTGGCCAGGCCAGACTTGGCAAGGGTGGGCACTGCCAGGTGGCTGATGGGTTTCTCCTCCATGTGCCCCCATCTCCCTGAAGTCAGGCCTGGGGAAACCTGAGTGTGCCCCTGCAGGTTTCTACTGACACCCTGACCAGAAGGTCAGAGACTCCTGTGACTTCAGCAGCTGGCTCTGTCCTGAGGCTGGTGGATGTGAACAGGCTTTGAGCTTTGAGGGAACTCTTTCTGGGCCTGGGACTTGGCCTGCTGCCCCCAAGGGGCAGAATGCCCCCTAGGCAGGCACATGTCCCCACCCAGACCCCCAGGTGCTTGTAGGTCCAAGTATATCAGTGCCACAGAGAGGGCCCCCTTCCACACTGAGCACCCCCGTCTGATTAACGAAGTGCCATGCAAGCAGCAGCAGAGGCCTGAGAATGCTGGCTAACAGCTCAGTCACACACTACAGACAAGGTGAGTGACAGCTCCTTCCCCCAGAACATGCCTACATCCCCAGAGAGGGCAGAGCTCTGAAGACACATGGCCCTCCAGCTGGAAGAGGCTCAGGCTTGCCTCATCACTGCTGGAAATGAGGCCTTTTCCATCTCCATGCCAAGGGATGCCTTTCCGGAAAGCTCTGCCCTTTGCATCTTTACAGGAAATTCTTAAGGGTCTTTGGGAACAATCTCTAGGAAGAGTCTCTCCTGGTGTCCCCCTATCCCTGCTCCTCCATCTCCTAGCATGCTGGCCTGACTCCACACTAGGTCCAGGGCCCAGGTTGACGCCAGCGGGATTGGCACACACCACTTCACGAGGCACCTACAAGCACCCTGAGGTGCACCTGAAAATCAGAAAGGGCTGTGCGGTGCTTGCTTCTGGTTGCGGCAAGGAAAGCAAGAGGTTGTGACCCATGCTGCAGGCAGGCATCCATGTGGCAGGAGTGGGTGGGCTCAGGAGGGTGCTTCCTGCAGGGGCGGGTGGGCTCCAGCTCTCACATCTGTTCCAGTTCTCATGCTCCATGGGGGAGGGGCAGCTGTTGCCTGCCCAGACAATGAGGAGAAATCTGAGGCTTTCACCAAGCCCACCTGGGGCCTCCACCAAAGCCCCAGGGCTTCCCCAGTGGTGAAGGGGCAGTGCAAGGGTCAGGCACTGCACTCCAGCTCCACAGTTCTTGGACAAATGCTGTCTGTGAGACGGCTGGGTGGCAGCTAAGGTCTGAGCTGACATTTCTGGGAAGTTACCCAGGATGGAGTGGTGCAGTCTGCTCCTACGTCCTCCAGCAGGAGCTGTTTCCATGGTGACATTAATACGGTTGTCAAGTCCCAAAGCACAGCCCCACTGAGAGGCCCTCAAGTCCTCCCAGCCTCCTGCTGGAGTGAGGTCACAGTCTAGGAAAATCCAGCTCAAATGCAACAGCTGTGTGTCTGCCACTTTTCTGGGATGAAAAAATTTTCCTCCAATGTAAAACAAAACAAATGCCAGTGGAAGTCATAGCTTCCTCTAGAGGTAGGTGAGTAAGGTGAAGTAAGGGCACAAAGGAGACCCCGTGCCTGGGTTGCCAGCCCTTAGGTGGGAGGTGGACCCAACCCTGGGCAGGAGGCTCTCAGGCCAGTTGCCATTCTCAGGAAGGGGGGCAGATGTTCCCTGAGCAGGGTTGGGGATGATCCCATTCACTGATGTGTTCTCATAAGGAATTAAAACACCCGCCTCTAATTGCCCAGGTTTCAGGAATTTGGATGCATGCACCCACAACAAATTATATCGCCTTAGCCACAGACATGAGAGCTTTTCAGGAAGAAAAGTCCCCCTGTCCCCACCAGGTGTAGCGACAGCTCGGAGAGCAGTGGCAGCCAGTGGCTTGCCTGAGCCCCTGACCACAGCATCCACAGGAGCGGAGACCCTGGTTCACCCGGCTTTGGTGTTGCCCATGGGATGCACACTGCTGTTCAGGGGAGGGGGTGAGGTCCATGAGCTCCTCGAGTCGTGGCGGGGGCCCTGCAGCTCCAGTTCCTGCTCCTCTGCTGTCCTACTGCTCCAGGCAGGACCGCCCCCACAGATGCCCACTCCCAGCCCCTCCCAGAGAACACTGGGACCCCTCAGGACCATGGGGTCTGAGTGACTGTTGCTTCCGAGGGCCGTCCAGACTGTGCAGTTGAGTCGGCTTCTCTCCTGAGAACACAGTGAGCTGGGGGTCCAAGCAGGGAACCACTTCCCTGACAGCAAACACTGCTCGGGGAGACAGTGCTGGGGGGGCAGTGAGCTCTGGCACAGTCCCAGGTCATTCTCCAGGCCTGGGCCCAAGTAGCATGTGTCTGAGGTCTTGGCCGTGCTGTCCTTCATTACCTCTTCTTAAACCTGAGCCACAGGGAGAAGCTGTAGGGACCCTAAAGAAAGCTGGGAGCTCTGCTGGGTAGGGGGGCCAGTGGCCCAGGACCCCATGCTGCAAGGGGTTGGGCCTGGAAGGGCCAGGCTGGGCTCTGCTTAGTGGGTGTGGGTGTGGGGGGCATGTGGGCTGGGTGACCTGAGTGAGACAGGGATCAGTGGGTCCTTTTGGAAGCTGAGAGAAAGAACAGGAGAGAGACCAGCCCCGGAGGAAGGCCCGGCTGTCCTGTCCTAGAAAAGTGAGACCAAAAACTAATAGGGCAGCAGGGGGTCTCATTCTGTCATGTGAGGGGCTCCTGGTTTAAGTGGACAGGCTTCTGCACAGGTCCATGCATGGGAGACAGCAGGAAGGTCGGGCAGCCAGCAGTTTTAGCCTCAGTGCTGGGAGGCAGGGTCATGGGGGCCACAGGCTGGACTGGAAGGCCACAGCTCTAGTGTGCCCTGCAACCCCCCGAGATCTGGCCAGATCTGCTGCCTGGGCTCTGGGGGTACAGCGCTCTGCACTTGGCCTGGCTGGGACCCACTCTGCTCTCCTGGCCTGGGTTTCCCCAGGCAGCTGCATCCCCCGTCTGGACGCAAGGTCAGGCTGGAGGCCAAGCTTACCATTTGCATCTCTGACCTCTTGCTATCTCCTCCTGGTCTTCACTGCTGGAGGACACCCTCAGAGAAGAAAACCATGCTGTGGGGAGGTGGTGTCGGGGGATCCCTTCTGTGAGCACCTCAGCAGGAGCGGCGCATGACCCCACATCTGACAATGAAGCATGAGTGTGTCAGGGACAAGGCATCGTCATGATTCCTTTTTATTGATTCAGTATCTTTAGGAATGTGTGTCTGTCCTCCCCAATGGTTTCGGTCTAAGATTTTAAGTCACAAACGCAAGGACACAAGACGTGGACTGCATGTTTCGCGTGGCCCACGGGCAATTGGAGAGTGTGGCACCGGGGCAACTTCAACGAGGGAAACGAGTGCAATCGCCTGCATCTAAGAACGGCAATTTGTTTTAAAAATTAAGTCAAGTGACACTAGTAAATGGAAACTCATCCCATGCTCATGGCTAGGAAGAATTAATATCGTCAAAATGGCCATCCTGCCCAAAGCAATATACAGATTTGATGCAATCCCTCTCAAATTACCAGCAACATTCTTCAATGAATTGGAACAAATAATTCAAAAATTCATATGGAAACACCAAAGACCCCGAATAGCCAAAGCAATCCTGAAAAAGAAGAATAAAGTAGGGGGGA